AATATTTCTTATAAGAAGCACTGATCTGCTGATGATAGCACATCATGCATCCCTAGGGTTTTAAAAATGACTACAGCTACTTTCCCTAAATTATAGGGATGTTTATACCTTCTCATATCTAGGAGGTATTACGTGAAGTAAAACAATAATTGGCACCTCTGAAAGTAACCCAAAATCTCCCTACTATTAACAGTGTATACACCTTATTTTTTTTTCTTCTTTCTGATGGTCAAAACAGAGAGGCCAAAACACTTTTCAGCAGAATTGAATGTATTATTACACATTTCATTTCCCTTTTTGTGGATTTATAACAGTTAGTTTGCTGGAATTAATTTTGCATTTGTGACATGACAAAAATACAATAATAATTTTATATGCCTGGGATCTTGGGCTAGTTTTACACAAATAGAGAATCGGAGATTTTGAAATTTAGCAGAACATCCTTAGCATTGCCTTTCTCTTACTAAGATACTTAAATACTTTATGTAAGTAGTATTTCTACTGTTGGACTAGAGTTAACTTCTCAGCCATGCAGAGAGAAGGTGCTAACTATTTGTATCAATTACAGTCAGAATTAATCCTCACTAGTTTGTGATTCTGTTGCTTTTGTAACTGGGTACTCAGTTGAATCAGTATGCCTATAAAAGTGCAGTTGAAAGAAAGCCCACCGAAAGATTCTTAGGAGGCTTCAGAGAGCTGTGAATTCTTGTGCATTTGCTCTAGTTTTGTGATTGATCCTTTAAATTCGTGAGTAAAATGTCAGGTTTGGCACTTGTATTCAAAGGGAAATTTCCTTTGTGTGCTCTATAAAACCCAGATGGAGATAAGATCCATGTAAATCAGTTCAGATCCACTTAAGGGAGTTTGGAACACTTAACTGCTAGCAAACAGGATAGATTTTCATTTTAGATGTAACTAAACTTGTGGAAATGAAATAAATTTATGAAACTACGCTTAGAGAAATCAGACTTACACAAAAGAATTATTATCCCTTCATATTCAGAGACACAGCATCAAGAGATTCTCCCCTCCCTGACCCCCACCACTTGCCTCTCCAGATCTGGTATCCAAATTAGAACTTTACAATCTGGATGGGTGAACAACTGGACAGGTAAAATACAGGTTGAATAGTTTGGCTCTGAGGGTGGTGACTGATTGGTTGATCATATGCTCCTTAGATGTTGGCAAAAGGAGAGGGTTCTCTGAAAGAAAAAACCTTTCCAGATGTCATTCTGCTGAAGACCGAGCTTTGCTTCAAGGCTGCTTTCAGTTCCAGCTGCTGTGGCTGGCCTTTGGATGTGTTTTGGAACCCACTCAAGAAAATGAGCTGTGCTTTCTATCTTTATCAATGACCTGGAGGAGGATGGAGTGCACTCGCCTCAAATTAGCAGAAGAAATCAATTAATATATACTTGAGGACAGTGCTGCAGTTCAGAGAGACCTAGACAGGCTGGAGGAATGAGCCAGTAGGAACCTTACGAAATTCAGCAAAGACAAATTCAGAGTCCTGCATCTGGGAAGGAATAACCCCTTGCAGTAGGTACAGACTGGGGGTTGGCTGGCTGGAAAGCCACACTGCTGAAAACGGTCTGAAGGCCTTGGCAAACAGCCGGCTGAACGTGAACCAGCCCCTGCAGCAAAGAGGACTAACAGTGTCATGGACTGTACTAATAGAAGCTTAGCCAGTATATCAAGGAAAATGTTAATCCCCTTTTACTTAGCACTCATTAGATTGTATCTAGAAAACTGCATCTGGTTTTGGGACCTCCAATCAAAGAAAGGTGTTGATAAATGGGAGTGAGTCCAATGGAGGGGCACAAAGATGGTCCAGGAGCTGAAACACTTACCCTATGAGGGAAGACTGAAGGAGCTGGGCTAATTTAGCCTGGAGAAGAGATTAATTTAAGGAAACCCTAGTACAGCCTTTCAATACCAGCAAGATGATTACCAAGAAAATGTAGACAGGCCCACAGCAGGAGGACAAGAGGAAATGGATGTAATCTGAAACAAGTGAAGCTCTAAGTGGGTATAAAGAACTTGTCACTCACTATAGAGTCAAACATTAGAGCAGTCTGCCCAGAGAGGTTTTGCATCTTCATCCTCAGAGGTTTTGCAAGACCTGAATGTCTTCAAAGACCAGCAATCTGGTCTGATTTCACCACTCATTCTCCTTTGAACAGGCTGGACTAGATGACCTTCCATAGTCCTTTCCAACCTGAATCATTCTATGATTCTAAGATGTTGCGTTTCTAAGATAGTTATTTTCTAATTAGGCCTGTTACAAAATGTCTCCTGTTGGAGGTCTGACTTGCCTGAAAGAAATATAACTTCATGGACATGTACAGAATCATAAACTTGTAGAACCGTAATAATCAACAAGTGATTCTTTGAACACTTGTCATTTGTAAGCAGGTGCTGAGATTGGATGCAGCAGAGGAAACTGAAGTGAATTCACAGGAAAAGAGGAAATGGCAGCAGAGGGGAAGGGAAATGAAAGTGGTGAGGAGGCAGAAGGCAAGGCAAATATAAAAAGGCAAAGATATTGAGTCTAGTGAGAAAAACTTAAATGCTTAAGGAAGATAGAAATTGCTGTGACTTGCAACTCTCCTCTTTTGCTGCCTCAAGGGAAGTGCTATGGGAGGTCCTTCTCAAATTTTCAACACAGAAATCTTAGTGTAAAACAAAACAGACATTTCATTAAAAATAGATTGCTTTAAAAATATCCAATATGTAGGCATGTTTCTGACAGCCTTGAAAATGAACTAAATTTATGGAAACTAAAAGACAAAACAAACATCACCATCTCCCCCAAAAAAACCCCAAAAAACTCCACACCCACAAACCAAAATCCCTTGATATTTTTCTCTTATTACCTGATATCTTCCCTCGCCCTCACCCAAGCTGTTCTTTAGTACATTTCTTATTGCAAAACAATTATAAATTCCCTCTTCCCTAAGAGAGGCATCAAGCTGGGAAGAGACAGTCACAGCTGATATTTCTTAGAACACATTTTATTCAGTAAGCTGCTGTCAATGTGATCAAGTTGTTATTAATACCAGATAACTCTTCACACAGCACAGTCACTTATTCACTCATACAGTTAGTTCACTCACACAGACACAAATTTTCTCATAGTTATCTGAGAATAACTGTCTGACTTGCACTCTGTGGTTGGTGCTAGTGTGTGCCAGTGGCCGTGTACAGGTTGAGCAGACTCTTGGTGATCAGTTTATCAGTTCTTGCAGATCCAACAAGTTTACCAGTCTATAGAGCTTATCAACCCATGAAAAACTTCCAGGCTTGCAGACTTGCAGATGCTACCTTGTCAGCATATATATTTCCTTTCTTTGGCCTGTTGTCTTCAGGTAACTGTTTCTCCATACAGATCTAGGTGCTTATAGAAGCAATTCACCCCAGCTCGCACAGAAAGAGCCTTTCTGACAACAGGCTACATAATCATGATTAAAGACATCTTTAATGTCTAATATTCTAATGGGATTTGCAGTTCCTTTGGAAAATTCTTGCAGATCCACCACATGGTAGATATTGATCTGCTTTTTGAAGTAGCTTTATAATTCTCAGGCTTTAGCTATTCAACTTCTGCCTGCAGCTTTGCCAGATGCAGCTTTACTGTTGTTTCTGTATTTGTGGGAAAAGCTCATCTATTCGCGCAGATTAAAATACTTATACTTCCAAACTCTGCACTTTATTCTATAGATTATTTGATGGAATCAACTATATGTTAAAACTAGTGTGCATAAATCTTTGCCAGCTGAGTCTGTGAGACCTTAGTCTCAAAAAACTGGACTTACAAAACCCATGGAAAAATTAGGTCTATGACAGAAATGCCGTGACTGCTAGTTGAGATGGATCTAATGCCACTTCTACTGATAAATTAGAAAAACTGTATTGAGGACACAGCTGGAAAAGCCAGTTTCACATATCAGAGCACCTTTGATCATAGTGACTTAATCTTACTCCAAAAGGTCTCGCTCTAAACTTGAGAATATAACACTAGAAATGGGCAGACATGAATGTTTGTTAAATGCAAGCTCAGAGCCTAAATTCTAGATATGTTTTGTATTTGTTACTCTGAAATGCCACAACCTATCTGGAAATAAGAGGAACAGATCTAATTCCAATGCTTTTTACACAGACAACAGTGGTCATGTGATTGATCTGGTAAATGATCAACTACCAGATGTCAAAATATCAGAGGAAGACAAGAAGAAGAATCTTGAAATACTAGAAGAAGCAAAGAAAGTGAGTGAGAGGTTTCTAATGCGCAGAGGCAGAAAGTCAAGAAGCAGCCTTCCGGAGTCACCTACAGGTAGATGCAGATTCTGAAAACGAGGGTCTGGGAAAAAGAAGATCTTCAAGGAGCTGCAAAGGCATAAAGGCATCTAGTGTAATGCATACATTGCTGCTGTATATGTACACTGTTAATCTGAAGTTCAGAATCCCTTGTGTGGTGTAAAGTTTTAAGTGCCTGAATGACACACTGCAAACGCTGTAAGAGGAAAGCATAAAGTATTTCTATTGTAATCTAAAAAATTGTCGCAAATTTCTGTTTGTGAAGATTTTCTTCCTAAAGTTCCTATTGTACATAAGATGAAATTTTAATGGCAAGATTCATACTGCTGAAAAGACATTCCCCCCAGACATAATTACATAGACTTCTATTCTGAATGGAGTCATAAACTGAGCTAAATGGACTAGATTCTCCTTGAAAAACAGCAGAATGTTTTGTTCTGGAATGTCAATTGAAATTATTTTTTCCCTCCTATGACGTGTTTAAAAACTAGGACAAAATGACATTTTATCATGAAGTAGAACTTTCATTTAGCTTTGAAATGCCAATTCAAAACAAAGTTCTATCTTAAAATTGGCTTGACACTTTCTGGAGGGAAAAAAAGCAAGTATATGTAAAATTAAATTTTCCTTTTTTTTTTTTGTCCCCTATATTCCTTGTGAATCCATCCCTTATGTCCACTTCTCTGCCATGCTTATTGTATCAGAAAACTGAAAAGAATAAGGATTCTGTGTACTGGTAGATGTGTATGATTTTATGGCAAGTATACCTGATAAACCTGCTCTAAATTCCTAATTACTAAGTACAACTTGGCTGTTAAAATTACTTGCCAGGTTCTGGACAAACACAAGACTGATGACTAGGAGATTCATGTTTTCATCTTATTTGAATTTTTAAAGTTCAGAAGCTACAAGCCTAGAAAGTAAAATTACTTTTTTTGGTTTTGTTTTTGTTTTAATGAAGCGGTTTCCCCTTCACTTAGTCCTAAAGTTTCACCGGTAGCATCTCGGAGCAACTCTCTCACTCTTCCAGTTCCATCAGGTAAAACGATCTATGTAGGCTCAAACTTTAACTTTAAAAACTCACCAAAAAAGTGGTTTTTAATATCTCTTGAGGAGAAGTCAAAATCTGTAGATTCAGGCATCTCCTCCTGAATATGACAGAGCTCATGAAGGCCCACAATATATATACTTTACATATTGTTTTAATTATGTTTTTATTCCTGTGGTGCTGATAGATTACATGTTCTTTTTTTTATTATTCTTTTCAATAACGAAGTTTAGTGAAGCCTTAATGATCTTTCAGTTACTGTATTTTAGACAATTTTTTTCTCTTTTAAATTGTATTTTCCACATTGAAATTTTGTCTTATTATATTATGTGGAATGGAGCATGTATGTATTTGCTAATGCTGTAGTAGTAAAAATTTTGAGCAAAACATCAGGATATGCCTTAATTATGTGTCTGTCTTCCTAGGGTCTGATGCATGCACAGCCACTAGTGTCGAGGCAGTATCTCCAGGGCAGGTAAGAAAGCTGAATAGTCTGCAAAGCAACCTGGTTATTACAGTACTACATTACACTACGTTGAACTTCTAGTCCCTGAGGAAAATGGGATGTTTTGAATACCATTTTATATACCAAGATTGGATTATTGATGTTTTTTTCTGCAGAGTGAGGGGCTAATGTTAGCTCTGAAGACAGAAATCCATAAGCTAACAAGCACCGAGGGATCATAGGGATCAGTTAAGCATATAAAATGGAAAAACATCCAATATAATCCTAATCTATGGAAAAAAACTAATCCCTAAAATTACTTCATAAATAAATGTGACAAGGAATGTAAAAATTAAGAGCTTCAATGTTCATCCATTTATATCTCTATCTAATATTTTCAGCACAGATGTGAAAGATAACCTTGTAAGGCAACTTTTATCTTCCTTTTTTACTAGAATAACAGAACTGTGAAAGAGGATGACAGGCAAACTGTAGAGGTAAGTGTGTAACATTAAGTGTTGAACAAGATCTGTCTGTTGGTCTTAGCACACATATGACTTATTTATGTGACTAAAAAAGCTAGAAGACTGGTCACTGAGTGAACACAAAACTGATTCTGCTCTAAGAAACTGTGAAACACCCGCAAATGTAGTGGAGGACAATGGGCTACAGGGCCTTTTCATCCTGTCATGCATCCTGCTCTAGTTCAATTAAAATCAATACACTAAATCACTTTCTAAGTCAAAATGTCTGGTATAGCTGCTTTGATGGTCTTCCAGACCAGACCTCTTTTGTTCAGTGGAAGAAATTACTGTACTTTGTGTTCCACATCAACAATGGGATGTTACTGCTCCACACAACTATTAGTGGAGCAGTCTATATGAATGCTTCCTAACTTGCTTTAGGTAATATTAGATGTCCCTTCAAAGAGATTTTGTTGTGAGTGGATTAGGCAATACTTACAAAAACTAGTACGACAGCCGAATTTTGGAGCAGTGACTAAGGCAGAGCCCACAGTTAGATTGCATGCTGGCTGCCTTAAATTGCCAACAGAAGTGCCCTTAGACAAAGCACAGATTCTGTATCAAAGTAGCCAAGGTGTTGGCAGACATTCTTTTACCAGTTCTCCTGTAGAGATTGTAGCCAAAATATAGTCTATGGTAATGCACACAAAGAAAGAAGAGAGAAATTACAATATGTGCTTTAACTTGGTATACAAGCCCATAGTTTTTCCCCTTGGGATGTGAGGGACTAACAGAAAACAATCAGAGGAAAGTAACAATGCTATAAGATACAAGGTTAAAGGGGTTTACTCCGACAAACCTTACATAAAGATGGTGAGAAACTTGGCTATGTAAGGATTGCTGTAACGGACTCTGGAATGGGAGGAGGTTATCTCAAAAGTCCAGAGAAGAGATTCCCAATTCAGTGATCTTTCAAGTGCCTTTTAAAAATAATTTGTCAACAGAAGATGTTTAAAAGCAAATGTCACTGAAAAGGAAATGGCTTTTTACAGTGAAAATCTGTCTTCAGGCAGGGGAAAAGAGAAGTCTGCACTTGTTTCTCTATTTTATGTGTGTTCCTCTGCTTTCAGAATGCTGCAAAAGGATTAATTGATCGAAGGCAGAATGATCAAAGAAAGATTTCTCAGGGAAGGTTGGTTCCTCGCTCTGCTGGTTTTGAAAACTCCAGAGAGAAGCTCTCAGAACAAAAAGAAAATTTTGATCCTCGTAAACATGTGGATACTTTGCCTAAATGCTCCCCTTCAGGTAGTGATGGTGGCAGAATGTATCTTAACACTTGCATGAATGTTTGTGAAAATGAACTTGGAAAATCATTCCTCAAGAAAGCAAAAGAAAATGATGTTCCTTTAAGAACCCATCCACCAGGACCAGGAATAGGAAATATAGATTCAAAGGTAAAAAGTCCTGTTCCAGAAATGAGGGACCATAAAGTTTCATATAAACCGGAATTTAAACTGTGCGGACTACGTCCTCCTCTACTACGGGCTGTATCATGGGATAGCTTGGAGCCTGGACAGAAAGATAAGACACCTTTAAAATTACCATCTGAGGAAGACAAAAGCTTTGCTGTTGGTAATAAATCCAGCAATCAGTTAAAAGCATTCAAAGATCTGCAAATCCAAGTTCAACCAGTTCGAATGCAGAGGTTGACAAAGCTCAGAGAGGTGAGTCCTAGTCATCAGCTGTATCCTGGTTTAAGGTTATTTTCATACCTTACTAAACTCTCAACTGGCTTAACATTATTTTTATCATTGCAAGAAATATAGAGTAATATAATGGGAAACAGTTTCAGCAAAGTCAATACAGAATTGTCATGTGGTTTTCCTTTGCAACTTTAGTAGATGGTAACCTATAACTAAATTCTGTGGAATTGTTCTGTTTCTTATTTCTCTTCATATATGCATCAACTGCACTGTGATCCCTTCAATATGCACATATGCATAAACATGTGCTCTTGCACATGCAGGTTTTGGCCTCCAGAAAAAAATTGTAATACTGGTGTCAAGAAAGTACTAAGTGCTTTCATTGTGACAGAAAGGTGAGTATAAAACACAGTATAGCTCGATTTAGCATCATTTACGTGACCTACAAACAGGAAGCAGTTGATTAACAATAATGTCATTTGCAAAATGTACTTGGAACTAAAATTATCTATTTTGATTTCTAAAGAGAGTTTTAGATATGAAGAATCTTTCCTTCCTCAGGATGTAACAACATTCTCTAAAAGGGTCACTTATGCTCTTTTACTTCCTTTGCTTTCCTGTGCTATGCTTTTTGTACTCCTTCAGGATTGTCCTCAGATCCACTGGCTCTCACAATATATTGACTAATTAACTGATTTCTGTATGAGTGGGCTGACACCGGTGTATAAACAGAAATCTCTAACTGAAGTTTGGAGACGGTTACTATACTCTTATTTAAGGGCTTGCAAGCCTCTGTGTGCCATATACTATTTGTAAACTTCCTTTGGATTTAAAAACCTCTTTTACTTTGTTCAGTTGAGTGTTTCTGAGTCCTGTATTGGTTGGTATTCTCCCTTCTAAGGGCAGTAGTTCTATCATTCAAGAATACTAGTATTTGCAAGATCTCAGGGGACAGGAAATTGTTTTGATACCATTTTTTGCTTATTGCAGGTTCTTAGAAAACTTCTTAAAGTGTCCAGAGTTTTAAAACTGGGTGTCTCTGAGAGCAAAGGCAGGTAGAGGATGGCCAGACTTACCTTTCCTAATTCTAACACGGTGCATATATGTTATCTACGTGAAGGACAGACTTGGACTACAAAATCTAGAAACCAATCTGTTATTAAATAATTGACTAAATGATTGGTAAAAGTTAAGAATTAAACCCTAAGAATTAACCAGTGTATTGAAAAAAGTAGAAGTGTCATGAAGTGATAAACCACCATTATGAAGCAACTACCATGTGTGTATAACAAAAATGACCTTTGAAAGGAAAAAAAGGAGTTACTTTCCTTAACAGCCCAGTAAGAATATTTCCTTTGATCTCCAGTAGTTAATATTTTAAGATGAACACAGGGCTGACAAGGGAGGACTTCAAATTTTACACTTGAGTTAATGAATTCCCATTGTATTGCTTGGGAATAGCCGCTTAGTTATTCATCTTTTCCTGTTTATCTAACACACATATTCTTAACATACATGTATTGGAAGTTTTGATTACAGAGACACATGAGCCATATTATTTTGAAAGGCCTAGAAGTTGTTAAACATAAATAGTAGTTAGAATCAGAAAATTCATACAACATGGTACATAATTGCAGTTAGGTGAGATTTGAACTTTGTCTTCAGTAGGAGTTGTCTAGTTATAAACAAAAGCAGCTGTTTGTGAATTTTAAACAGATTTGAGAATATGAGGGTAGAAAATGAGATGATAGAAGGAGAAATAAGATAACAAGGTTTAATCCTTGAGAGTACATTCTTCCCTACCTGTAAGAAATAGAGGCAGAGTACAGTAACAGTGAAATAGTAACTTGCAGCTGTAGCATACCAAGCCTCAGTGTGAATAATTCTGCTGAACAGATCAAAGTGGGAAGTGTCAAATGTCTGATTTTCTGAATTTTCTCTCCTTTCTGGGATACTTACTTATTACTATGACTATATACAAAATTGCTTCTTTTGCTTTTATTTACTAAAACTCTCATTTATCAAAACTCAATTTTTCTACTTGAGTAAGAACACAAGTAGCAAATCTCTGTTTTCATGACCAGGATTTTTTCTAAATAATGCATATCTGAAATTTGAAACATGTAAGATTTAAGAGTCTGTGTGTGAATGTACATGTGTCCATGCAATGTAGCATCTAGCTATAACTTAATGTAAATATCTCCATTTTCTTTATTTTCTAAAGTAAATGTTATATTTAGTGTTCACATGGCAGGGGTATTTAAATTGAGATTTCTAGGTAAGTTACTTAGAAACGTTACTGTTTTTCTTAACAGGAGCATATTTTGATGAGAAATCAAAATTTGGTTGGACTGAAACTTCCTGAACTTAGTGAAGCAGCTGAACAGGAAAAAGGTACAGTATCATAAAAGCTGGAAAGAGCATTTGTTTGTTATATACTGATTTTATAATTGACTAATATGGGGTGGAAAAAAAGTCTTTTTCTTCAATTGCAATAGTAACTGTAAGGAAGCAGTCATGGAGTTGGGTGTAGGTGATGAATAAGAGACCAGCGATGGAAGTACCTGAATTTCTTGACGATCTGAGCCAAGAAGATACCACAGGTATTATTACAACCAGATGAAAAGATTGATACCTGGAACAGAGCCTAGCTTGTAATTCATAGATGGAGGACTGTGTCAAGATTCAGTGACATTCTGGAAAAAAGTTTCAGCAGTGATGGATTCAATGGATGTGACCACTGAAAGACATTGTGTCCACAAGGGTGAATTTGATCCTTGAAAGTATAAATAAGAGATGGAGTTTTTATTCCTGCTTTTTTATTTTAATATATGTGTGGCAAATATTGGAATGGCACGTTCACTTCTGGTCCACAGCTCTGCATCAATGTGGATAGGTAAGAGTAAGGCCAAGAAGAGACATGAATATGATTGAAGCATTGGAAAAATGTGCCTTACAATAAGTGGTGGGGGGGATAGCTCTATTTGTATGACTTTTAATCAGAAAAAGGCTTAAAACTCTACATAAATGAAGAAGCAGAAATCTGGCAGCAAAAGTTTTTTCCAATCTAACACAAGCACGTGAGATTTGATGTCTGTAGGCTACATTTAAAAAGATTCAGAATAGTAACAAAGAGCAAAGATATAATCTTGAGAACAATTCAGCAACCGGAAGAACTAAGTAGCAGTAGTGCTGAGCAAGCAATTGAAAATATTTAAACCAAAACTGTATACTTGTTAGGAAGTAGTTAAGTTGGAACTTGTTCAGAGTGTTTTTAAGGCCACATGAACTGAAATGGAGGTGGTTAATGTGAAAGGATCTGAAATGAATTGTCCAAGATTTGATCCAAAGACAATTTCCACTGTTCCTGAAAGTGTTCATTTAGCTAACTCATAGATTTGCTTTGGAGCTGTTTCATAAGGCCTTAAAGTTTCTGTCACACTGGGAGATGGCTGAGATACTTCATTTCATTTTATCTCTGGAAACAGATTCTTCAGTCTGAAAGAAACAAAATTAAAAGAGGCTTCTTGTCCTCTTTTTTTATCTAGTGATTTTTATCTTTGCTTTCTTAGATATGGTAATATTGTTCCTGTCACTCTGGAAATACGTAATTTCCCAGAAATTATTTAGCAGGCTGTCTGAAAGTGTAAAATAGTTGCTGTTTTACCAGCCTGTAACATAGTTTTGGCAGATTTGAAACTTCTAAGGAAAACATTATGAAAAGCTAAGCATTATTTTATCCAGCTTTTCAACCAAGATCTCATGAGCATCACAAGCTTTTTGAAGTCTGCTAACCTACATAAATGACAGCCAGAACATTAAGAGTCAACTACTTGTCCTCAGTGGGGAAACCAAGTGAGGGGTCAAATCCTTAGTTCATTTGTTAGGGAGACTTACTTCCTTACATTGTCATTAAAGCCATCTCGTGCTTTTTAACTGGAGTAGTAATTTTGCTTAAACAATAGGAAATAGCCAGTGACTTCATTATTACTGTTATGAATCAAATATACAGGCTCCATCGTGTTTTGCATTCAATGCCAATTTATTGCGATCGTGTTAGTAAACACAACTTTTCATCTACAGAAGTTTAGATCAGGGGGATATATTAAATCTGGAGTCATTGTGATGTCAGGCTGGCTTTTTATGGGAGCACACATGACAGTTCTTAAGTTAATACTGGAATTTTAAAATATAAAGGAAATGCACAGAACTAAAATGTAGCTAGAATCTCCCATTCTTTTCTGTCTTTCATGTTAATACTCTTCACATTTACAAAATTTGAGCTGTGTCACACTATTTGTTTTGCAAGTCTAAGAATCTTTGTCTCATGCCAAACGAACAGGAGAGCTGTACAAAGATCCCTTCTCAAGTCTGAGCTTCAGAATGAGGAACCTGACTTTCATACAGGAGAGTCCTTCATTAAATTCTGGCAAGATAGAAGGAAATAAGGGAATTATTATATAAGAAAGTGACAGAAATTGAGAATACAATTATAACCTTTATGTCCTGTTTCAATGAACGTGCAGTGCAAACAAGTACATGTTGTAGATTTATCACCATAAATGATGCACAAAATCTGTAGTGTAGTACATTATGCTACACTTCATCTTGGCAGGTGGCATTTAAAGCCTTAGAAAATAACAGTACCCTATTACAAAATCTAAGCTAAAATATTCCAGAAATCATGTAACTGTACTGGTAAAGCACAAATACATAATGTTAGGTTAGATGTTCTAGTAATGAATTTGGGTTCAGTCTGAATTCTAGGAAAAATACTAATACAATAATTATTGTCCAGTGCATTAGAGACTGTGAGAGTGCATATTACTTCAGTCTTTCTACATAAGGGATTACAATTGTACTGATTGCTTCTCTTGCTACTGCTTAAAAGGAAAACACAGGATCTTTATTCTAGCAGTAAAGGGGAGATGAGTGTTGAATCACCATATGCAATAAAGGAAGTAACATTCTGCATGAAGGAATCAACCTTTTCTTGTTTTTCACTTTTGCTCCCAGTAGAATTGGGGCAAAATCATCAATGACTTTAAAAAGGTCACAGCTAGGCTAAAAGGTCCTATTTGGCTCCGAGTTGCTGACTAAATACTTAATGCATGACTTTAAAGTAACAAAAGTTTTTTATCTGAAAATGTCTTTAGGCCCTTCACCTCTTCCCTCTCCCACTGAAGATGAAGAGACAAAGAATAGCTCTGATGTCATGCCCAGCATTCCTGATGTATTGCTCCGAAAACTGCGAGTGCACAAATCACTTCCAGGAAGGTAAAAGCTCATTAGAAGTAGAAAGACATCATCCAGGGGAAGGCACACTAATGGTTTCCAGTGAACTCCCTTTATGGAGTTCCATTCACAGCAGATCCCTATAAGTAGACAAACTGCTGCATCCTAAAATATGCAACACAGATTTTCTGAAAAATCTTGGGGAGTCCACCAGCTTCCAGTATCTGGCCAACTTTTAAAATTAGTTTGTAAGTTTATACAAAGAGTCTGAGACCTAACTTGCATGCTACAAGTACTTTTTTGTACAGGTTTCTCTACCACTCTGTCCACTCCTGGTTTCCAGGATTGCTGCTGTAGATGTAAATTCATGTTGAAAATGTTCATATTTCTTTCCACTAGGAAAATAATCAGGCCAGATAATGCTTTCCAATGGTAAAATTTCAGCATGTAAGATTTCTGCAGTTTTTCTGCAGGTGACAATTTTTCAGGGGAATTGAGTTTATTTTGCAAATGTAGTTGAAGGACTCGCTTGCAAATTCTCTGATCTCGGGCTATGCAAGTAGGCACTTACCAACGCATTGCTTAACACCTGCCATGGCTCAGGAGCTATATGAACATAGTGCAATGTAACTATAGCAAGGGAATCCTCTGGTCCGTGTTCTTCTGGGAGTTGGAACAGGCTATACCTGCCAGGTGTCTGTCCAGACCTTTAGAAATACCAATTTTCATTCTGATTTGAGTTTACTACTATCCAAACTTAACACTTTCATGACAGAATTTAAGTGGAATTTTCCTTTTGGGAGAAGGAAGGTTTATGTTTATAATTATTCAAAAGTCCATAATTTTAGAAAAGTAGTTTGCTCTGGCCCAAGAAATATAGGGAAGAAAGCTGAAATGAAGCATTTCTGCATGTCTTGCATACTTTCCACCACTGATAACTTTAGAGACTGAGCATATTTTATTTTGTATGGCATTAGAATTAAATACTGGTTTCATCAAAACAAACCATTAAATATTTAAGGGGAGGATATCTTTTGTTGTTCTTTTCAATTGAATATTACAATAGCTTTGTTTTTAAAAACAAAACTTTTTGCATTTATTCGTAGCTCTCCTCCACTTACTGAAAAAGAAGTTGAGGTAAGTATATTCTTAAACTCATTATTTTAGACATATGCCTCAATTCTAAGTGGTTACTGTAATTATAAAGGTGGTTATTACAACCAGGTAATGGGGTTTTTTTGTCCAAAAAATATTTCTCAGAAAAGAAACATATCGAGCTTAATCAAAGTAACATTTTTATGAAATATGGGCAACTGTCCCAAGCAATATAAACTGTAAAAAGGCTTGGAGTAGGAATAAATAAAACACTTGTCTGTGCATTCTTCACTATAAAATGCACATTCATTTTGGAACTCATTACAACATACTTAAAGTAGTAAAAAAAATGAGATTAAATGAGACCAGAAACAAAATTAGTTAAATTGCATTTTTGTATTGGCCAATAGGAGCTTTGGGGCAGTTTTTTATGATAGCTTGCAGTTAGTTTACATAATTTTTGCCTTTTCAGTTCAAGCCAGTATTTTTTGTAGGTTGCTTTTTAGCTTGCTGAATGTTTCTTCTTTTTTTTTTTTCACATACCAGTCAAGAAAAATATGTTTACTTACATAGCTCCAATCTGATGGAACTGTTGGTGCCTTGTGCTTTGCAAAGTATTTATCCTAAAAAATAATGCATCTGGTAAAGAAAGAAACAATCTTTAAAAGCAGAGTGCAAGAGAATAAAAATAATCTTAATCTCTAACTGGCTTCAGTAGCAGGTGTTTATCCCTTAGGTAAAACAATGCTAGTGGTGAGCTCATCCCTGGACTTCCTCTGCACAGACTATCTGTTTAAAAACCTTGGGGACCCTTGGAGGAAGTCCAGCTAGAAAACAGATCCATTGTGGTTCTGACACTTTCGGTAGGCTACTTCCTTCATTGACTCTCTGCTCTACTGATGTCCCAGAAAAACATTCAGGAAAAGAGGCAGCAACACATTTATTCGTATTTTAGAGGAAGTAATGAGAAGTGGGTTTTGAAACAAGCTAATTTAAAAAATAATTTCAATTTCCTGTTTCAATACTTACTTAAGCACCAAAGTTTGTTAAAGATACCTTATTCATAAGTTGTTATTGGAAACTACATTACTGCGACACTTAAAAATACCTTTTTTAAATCCAAACAGAATGTATTTGTACAACTTTCCTTGGCCTTTAGAAATGACAGTTATACCTTAGAATCTAGAATTAATCAAGCAGAGAGAGAGAGAAATCTTACTGAAGAGAATGCTGAGAAGGAACTGGAAAACTTTAAAGCAGCCATTACGGTAAGAAAACAACAATAATTGTTTTTCTTTACAAGGAAGTGCACATGTTTGAAATGGGTGTTGCTATGCTTGCTTATACCTATCCTAAATTTAGTCCCAAATTTATTTTCTGATGCACAAGCTCCTTACTGTAAGCTGACTACCACTCTACACAAGAGACAGCATTTTCTGCCTGTGGTCCTCCATTGCTGGAAATGCACAGAGGATGTGCCCTACTTCTAACTGATTTCAGGAATAAATGCTGTTAATTTGTTGTTCAATTCTTGGAATAAGCCTGTGACAAAGCTAAGAGCATTCAGAACTGCAATTTCATAGAATCATAGTATGGTTTGGGTTGGAAGGGACATTAAAGACCATCTGGTCCAACCCCCCTGCCGTCGGCAGGGACACCTCCCACCAGCCCAGGTTGCCCAAAGCCCTGTCCAGCCTGGTCTTGAACACTTCCAGGGAGGGAACATCCACAACTTCCCTCAGCAACCTGCGCCAGTGTCTCACCACCTTCATAGTGCAGAAATTTTTCATAATCTAAATCTACCCTCTTCCAGCTTAAACCCATTATCCCTTGTCCTATCACTACATGCCCTTGTAAAAAGTCCCTCCCCAGCTTTCCTGGAGGCTCCCTTCAGTTACTGGAAGGCTGCTATAAGGTCTTCCCAGTCTCCTGTTCTCCAACCCCAATTCTATCAGCCTGGCTTCATAAGATAGATGCTTCACATCATCTTTGTGCCCCTCCTCTGAACTCACTCCAACAACTCCATGTCCTTCTTTTGTTGTGGACTCCAGAATGGTTGGCTTTCTGGGCTGCAAGCACACATTGCCAGCTCATCTTGAGCTTCTCATCAACCAGCACCCCTAGGTTCTTCTCCTCAGGGCTGTTCTCAATCTATTCTCTGCCCAGCCTGTCTCTGCGCTTGGGATTTCCACAACCCAGGTGCAGGACCTTGCACTTGGCCTTGTTGAACTTCATGCGGTTTGCACGAGTCCATGTCTCAAGCCTGTCAAGGTCCCTCTGGATGGTATCCCTTCCCTCCAGTGTGTTGTTGCACCAAATTCATCCGTATCTTGGCTGTGTTTCTACAACAAATGTTTGCACTACAAACACAATTTCTCAAAGGACTCCATCCAGAAAGTTGCTGCATATCACTCCCTTCTTTTGAGGGCGGGGGGATACGTAGAGGAAGAAAGGTTATTCTTTTCACACACCATTTCAATGCATTGACTTACTTTTGCAGTAATACAAGTGAGGGATTGCAGAGAACTAGGGCCCAACACAACTGGTCTGACTGGGAGAATTGTATGAACAGCAACACAGTGATTAATTACTTAAGAGACCTCAATACCAAAACTGACACATCCTGAAAAAGGACTCTAAGAATATATGAATCTCAAAATCACAGAATCACAGAATGGTAGGGGTTGGAAGATCTAGTTTAAGAGATCATCTAATCCAGCCCCCTACCAAAGCAGGTTCACCTACAGCAGGTTGCATACAATAGTGTCCAGGAGGGTTTTTAATGTCTCCAGAGAAGAATCATCCAGCATCACAAAGTCTGCCTGTAAGTCTGAACTAAACTGTATTGGGCTTTCTCATACCAAACTTTTCTGTCAACGGAAAACTTTGGGGCAGTTAATAAGACAATAATAAGACATCTAAATTCACGCTTGCTTTTGGTAACTAATCCCAAGGAAGTTATATGTTTCAGTGCTTTTCATTATAAATCTGAGCTATCAAAGTGATTATATTAAGCCATAGCATAAATGTTTGTATTGATTGATAAAAATGGTTAAGAAATTGCAATCGCTGTATGATTTACAGACCATATTGGCTTTGATTTCTCTTTTACATTTGGAATTCTTGAGACTATAACATCTTATTTTCCAAATAAGTATTGTGGATCTGAAAGAATATAAATGGCCTTCCTAATGTCTTGTGCCCAGCATGTTAAAGTGTTCTTTGCGTTTCAGCAATCATTTGTAAGTACTAGTTCAAATAAGTTTGTCATTTGTCAAGTTCATAGGTAGCTAGGCATGATTCATCATTAATTTCAAAAAGAAAAGTATTGCAAATGTGCTTAGCCCTTTTTAACTCCTTGACAGTTGTGCCTGCCATATGTGGTGACAAACCATTCTGAAACAGCAGCAGCGCTCTCTATGTTGTCTCTGGTGTTAGTGATGGTTCTCCTCTGGGTCTAATTTGTCCATGTGTAGTTCTGCTTAGAGATGTCTGCCTCACTTCTGTGGCTCAGGCTGCTTCACCTGAACCAAAAGTGTGAAGATATGACAATAAAGCTTATGCATTTTCACTTCAGTCTTCAGCTCACTTATGGCATCACTATGAACACAGAGAAGCTTACCAGAAGCTGTTGGAGGATATTGCTGTTCTGCGGCGTTTAGCTGCTAGACTGTCTAGTCGTGCTGAAATGGTTGGAGCCGTTCGCCAGGTAAGAACATCCTGGTGTCTAGCACATCCTGGCTGCACAAGTTCACTCTTTTTCAGCCATAGCTGGAGGTTGTATTAGCCCTTTGAATTTTATTTGCCATTTTGGCAGGTTAAAGACATTTGTCGTAGTGTCAGATAAGACATCATTTCAGTCAGGAAACAAAATTCAAACAGAAGATTACCTATGAAGCTATTCAACACATCTGTACATTAGGAGTATATATATTATTCAGAACTATAGCTGCATCACAATAAACTTACTTAAAATCAGTGCAGCATGAACAAGAAAGTTTTTCTGGGTCAAAAAGCTCATCTAGTTCAGTCTTTGGCAATAGCTTAGTCAGACAGCTATGAAGAGTGTAAGAACAGAGCAAGTATGAATGAGAACAGAACAATACCCTCCCAGATTCAGGACTGGAAGCCCATTGAGGTAACAAGACCGATGCCTGTGATTAAGACCTTGAGGATTTGAGACCAAATGTATGTATACCACGTAACTAATAACATAGACACACAGACTGACTGAATAAATATATGATACAATAAATGGTGATATTCTGTGGATATATATGAATGCATGTGCATGTGTGTTCTAATTAGCTTAGGACTTTTCAGGCGCGGAGGTACTTTCTTGAAGAACAACTATTCCACATTTCGCCCTGACAGGGAGCATACACATAGAGGCAAATGATTCATTTGAAAAGTGTAGAGGTTACCTGAGTATTTTCCTCTTTTCTTCCCTAGGAGAAGCGTATGTCAAAGGCAACAGAAGTAATGATGCAGTATGTGGAAAATCTGAAAAGAACGTATGAAAAGGATCATGCTGAACTAATGGAGTTCAAGAAACTTGCCAATCAGAATTCTAGCAGAAGCTATGGTGCATCTGGTAAAAAAAAATAAAATAAAATTAAGGGTTTGTCTTGCCTGTATACAGAGAGGTGTCTGGTGCTAATAATGATAAAAAGTGAAGTATCATGAAACCTGTTCATGATGTTCTGATCTACAGGAGTAGATTTCAAAAAGCCGTATCTATAACAGCTGAAATATTTTATATAAGCCATACCTAATGTTATAGTACAATAATTTAAAATCACTATCACCAAATTCTGATGACATCCAATGACATTTTCATTGGCGTCTTGCACATACACATAGCTTGCAGTTTTAATCTAACCACCTCTTAGATGACAGATTATGCCAAATTTCATTATTATTTTTTTTCTTTTTGCAACCTTTTCATTCCTAGTTTGCTGGAAACTGAAATATGAGTATTTTCTTTTGCAAAAACTTGTTCACGGAGACAAAAAGTGAGCTTTTGCCTGATCTCATAACGATACCAATGGTTCAATTTTTTGCAATTATTTCAAATTTCTTCTGCACGTGTAACTGAGACCAAAACTGTATGACAGATAGATATGCAGTCACTACATACTTTGTATAAATATACTATATCTGAGTTTGAAATAGAAGCAAAGGCTCTATTTATATTATTTATAGATACTCATAGAGTCTAAGACTGTTCTTTATCTACTGTTTTTATGCAGAAGATGGAGTACCTCGTTCATCTAGATCCATGTCTCTTACTGTTGGAAAGGTATTTCTACAATATAAGTATAATGACGTGAACATCTATGTAATGAAATTTATTTGTCTACATACACTCACTTTTATAGACTGTGTTCAAAACAATGCTGCTAAATTCTCAATATTGTTCATGAAATGCAGTGAAAGTGCTTTGTAATTTTTGGAGAAACATTTAAGTGTGACTTTGTGCAATAACGGTAAACGAAGCTATAAATTATAAAGGGACCTATTTATTTAAGGATAATTGTATTCCAGGGCGCATGCCTGTGCTCCAGAGAATGGTTTAGGTCCTATGCTTTATTCTAGTTCCTCAGTGAGGAAGCTGAACTTTGGATCAAAACTTACTATACAACTTGGGATGCCATGGTCATACCGTTTTCATTATCTTAATCATTACAACACGTTCAGAGTACCTTAAATGTAAACAGTTATTTTTAGGCAGGGCTTATTTTCCAGTTAGCATCAAAGTATCTTGTTTGCTTTGACAGGGCATTCAGAGTGAGAGGTTATCTCAGATCCCTTTGGCTTGACTAATTAATAACTTTAAAATGGACAGCGCTCCATTTCTGCAAAACTTCCAAGTGTTGGAGATGAAGTTTATTACAAAGCTTCCTAAAACAGCCAATGATTTGAGAGCTGAATCCCAACGTGACCATTATGAAATTTGGTGATCAGAGGCATTATATTCAGTTTACTATTTATTTTCATATTTTTATTCACTTGGGTTGTAGTTCTTTACATTTAATTTATTCCTGCCCCCTCTGAGTGCTGGATAGAAAGAATTAGAATACAGAGTATGCTGAGGGCAAGACTGCACTTCAGAATGAGAACCAGATAAGTTGAAACAAAGATCTCAAAAAAGGTGAAATTTAATAAGGACAAGTGCAAGTCCAAATAATAAAGCGGGGAGTGAGGAAGGTGGAATCCTCAGAACACTAAAATGGTCTGCCTAACATGGCTACAGATTCCCCAGAATGGTTTTTCAGAAGCACAGTAGATAAAAATGTCACTAATAAATAGATAGGTATAGTTGGTTTTGTCTAGAACCAGGGTCATGGATTAGGTGACTCCTTTATATATTTAGTAAAACTGTGTTTAACTCTTTTCCTGTAAAATTATCTAAAGCAGAATCTTAGAAGTGTTTGAATATGGACTAAGATGTTAGATGCTGTAAGTGCTTGGAATTTTTTACTCAGAAAGAAACATAGATTTTACTGGGTATATATTATAGGATGAAGTATTTGGCTACTTACCTAATGACAGCAAAAACCTATATAAACTGTACTTGAGCTAGAATATATTGTGTACAGCTAGCATGTGTTTATCATATAAAGAATTTCCATGGTCTCTGGGAAATATAAGCAATGTTGCATGATGCTAAATAGTATCAGAAATAGTGTGACCAGCATGACAAGGGAAGTGATCATCCACATGTACTCGCCACTGGTGAGGCTGCACCTCAAATACTGTGTTCAGTTTTGGCCCCCTCACTACAAGAAGGATATTGAGGCACTGGAGCGTGCCCAGAGAAGGGCAATGAAGCTGGTGAGGGGTCTGGAGCACAAGTCTTATGAGGAGTGACTGAGGAAACTGGGGTTGTTTAGCCTGGAGAAAAGGAGACCCTATTGCTCTCTACAACTCCCTGAAAGGAGGTTGTAGCAAGGTGGGTGTGGGTCTCTTCTCACAAGTAACAAGTGATAGGACAAGAGGAAATGGTCTCAAGTTGTGCCAGGGGAGGTTTAGATTGGATATTAGAAAAATCTCTTCACTGAAGGGGTTATGAAGCATTGAAACAGGCTGCCCAGGGAAGTGGTGGAGTCACCAGCCCTGGAGTAATTTAGAAAATATATAGATGTGGCACTTAAGGACACGGTTTAGCGGTCAACTTGGCAGTGCTAGCTTTACAGTTGTAAATATTCTTAAATATTCTTAAAGGTGCTTTCCAACCTGAACGATTCCATGGTTCTATAGATATCTAATAAAACAAGGGTAAAGGAGAAGGCTCCTTTTTTCCAGGGGGAATGGATGTTATTGTTTCTCAAAGTTATAATTTGTAGGTTTAGAAATAATTCATATACCATTGTGGGCACAGTATATCATAATGGGTACATAGCAAGAGAAGAGTTTCATGTGTAACTTCATTATTTTCCGGTCACTGTGACACTGGCACTTTTCCCAGTATCATAATACATCTGGTTTAATCAAAGCTAATAGACTCTAGTAAGAACTGACAATATCAACTCAGAACATGTGACTAAGTGTGACTTACACTACTGGGCTTTCACTGTGGAAGGAAAAGAGCAGCAACCCTGTAAAACAGCTCATTTCACACTGAGCACTTGCCATGCCAGACAGTACTAGAGGAAGTCTTGGGGAAAACCACAGCCCTAACAGTCATTTATCTTAATTTTGCTCCCAACTCCTTTTCCCCAAGGAACATTAACCTACATCTTTGCCACACCTATTGACTTGTATAATTGTTCTTCAGCTTATCTTGTTGTGTGACAGAAGAAAAAAAATGTTGTTTCTCACAGAATATGCCTCGGAGGAGAGTCAGTGTTGCTGTTGTTCCTAAATTTAACTCCTTAAACATTCCTGGTCAGTCACCAGCAGCTTCACCTATACCTTCAATGCCATCCCTGGTAAGTAAAGCCCACGTTTTACAGATACTACTCTTTGTCTCAACCACTTTTGCATAGGGCCAAGCCATAGTTACTAAAAAATGTAAGCCCATTCATTGGTTTAACTTGTTTTGACTCTATCCTAGGGAAAGGGATGGACAAAAGTAATTCCAGTTGTGTAAAGGACATATGACTTCAGAATCTGTCTTCATAAATGATCCCTTTGGACACAGACCCAAAGAGGGCTAGGTAGTGTTTCAGAGACATTAGATATCAGTTGAGGCAATTTGCCTTTTTAATCTGCAATAATATACTCAAAAGAACTAGTGAAAATATTTGTCCACTGTAGAAGAGAGATTTTAACTAATGCCAAGAAGCCTTCTAAACAGAAAAACATTTAATTAATGTACAAAAATGTATGTGGTACACATTTAGAGGTTCTGTGATAATCTGGGGTTAGTGGAGCTGTCAGCCTCTTCCTTGACATTTTGTTTTTTTAAAAGCCAAATAAGAATGTAGTCTGAACCTAATAAATCTATATAAATGCTTTGGAGGAAAACTGCAAGGCATACCAATCATTCATAGATGAGCTGTGAAGGCACATAACCAGAAAATTACACCGTTTTCTGTTAAAAATATAGGGCTATTTAGATAAGAGGTTTTGCTGAGAAGCTAAATCCACTTGAGTTTTATGAAAACAATCTGTGCAATTAGGTATTATCTACTCATTGTCAATTGCTTCAGGAACAAAGCTCGTTTGTTTACCTTTATTTATTATTATTTATTTTTGTTTAAAATTTTTCATTGAAAACTCAGCTCACAAATTAGTGTTCCTAGGATAATAGGAAGAGAAGCAATAGAGCAATTTTACTGTTCAGTGATCAACATGTGAAGAAGAAAGGCTCTTCTTGGAAAAAATAACCAGGGTAGAGGGAATGTCACAGAAATTACATCTTAGTGTGCAAGTCTATTTTTAACTGTGATTAATGAGAGTAATTCAGAAGTTCCACCTTAAAGATACCTTGCTTATGGATGTGGGAAGAAAACCCAAGCAACCCATTGACTTTGTCATTTTACTGAAGACTCATTTGAAATTAATTCATGGATGTAACATTTATTGCTATTTTTCACTTACAGTCTGAATCGCCTAGTAATGGAAGGAGCAATCTAACATCTACTCCTGTTCTGCCAGCACTTCTAGAAAAGTGAGTTTTCTCTAGGTCATCTCATTACCTATTAAAGGCTAGTATGAAATGAAAACTGTATCATTTCTATCTTTCCTAATAGAAGTTATACGAAAACATAGGGTACTGAAATCAGTGACACTATATTGGCTTAGGTTGAGTCATGAGCTGGTAACTGTATTTTACTATGTCTCCACCATATTGTTCTTTTCATGTTCAAAGAGTGTACAAGCAGTATTTCAGAACTAAATTGAACCTGCTATAATTATTAGAACTCATTAAGAAAAAACACAGCAGATTAAACATTTACACATTTGAGTAGGCCTGTCTTCAGAATTAAACAAAACTGGGAGTATTACATACAACACACCTGGCTTTTTTTTTTTAATACACTTCCTGGTACTAATTAATTCTGTATCTAAAGTTGACTGTGAACTACCTTGAGTATGAATATTGCTTCAGAGAAGATATTACTTAAGAGAAGATATAGTTAAGAAAAGATATTTTGTAGCCTGGTAACAAATACCTCAATATCTATATTTTTCTAGTACCTATAAATTGCAAAATATTTTTCATTAGAACAATTGCCCTTTTGACTCTATATTTCTTACCATTACTGCAGATGTCCTTGCTGCATTAAGGTGTGCTGTTGTTATCCATTTTCCATAATAGTTCTGTAAGTCTTTCAGTGGGTTTAAATGGTACTGCTTTCAGAGTAAAATAATAGTCATATAGACAAAGAAAGCAAAGAATCACTCTGCTGGAGAGCATGTACATCTACACATTTCTGGAAAGAACCTTTAAGTTTTTCCAGTTGAGATTCATGTGGACACGTAATTTAATTTTATACAAGTTATTGGAATGGAAAGCTCCTGCAGTAACAGAATACAAAGGTGGACAGTATGAAAACATGTGAGACTGGGATGAGAACAGAATGCATACTCAAGCTCGTTTACAAAGGCATTATGGACACGAGTACCGTTGCATCTGAAAACCTGTGTGTGTGTATGCTTTGTGTGTATAATCAGTCTAGAAAGCAAAAATAAAAAATTGTCAGGCATTTTCCCAAATATTTCTCTCTTTCAGGAAATGTTGCACATTCTGAGGAAGTTGCTTGCTGATGTTTCAGAAGTAAAACTTGCTAAAACATCACAAAGATTTTTATTGTTGTTGTTACTACTACCACTACTTTTGTTGTTTATACTGTTTGCAATATCACAGTAAAATCTCTGCAATACTAATTTAAATTAAAGTTTGTTAGGATGCTTTAAACATGCAAATTAAAAGCTTTAAAATATGTAGATCTCACATCAGTACACAATATTGAATTTCATGTATTTTAGATTAGTGCCAAGGAAGAACAAAATTTACCTTATGTCTCTGTTTTACCTCCATGCTTTATTAACAATGAAAAGACACAATAATTGGGCAAACAAAAATGGTAAACTATGGCACTAGTTGTTATAGTTCAACAGAACTCTGCAAGATTTAGACAGTCTTTTGAAACTGTACAGAATTTCTGAAAAAAAACCCCACAAACCACCAAACAAAGCTTATTAGACCTTGACTTTGACAGATTTCCTGAGTCAGGTCTGAATCACTTAAACTCTTTGTCCCAGACTTAAATAAATAAGGACAGGTGAGCACTGCAGAAAGAGAGCAATATACAGTGCCTTAACTTTAGGCTAAATGCTTAAAGCTTTTACTTAAGAAGAGTTTTAGTGACAAAAGCTGTACATGTGTTTCTGGTTTTTTAACCTGTAAATCAGTTCAGCATATAAAGTCAGCAGAGAGGAGTACCTAAAAGGCAAATAAGAATAATGTTTTGATAAATTAGTATTGCTATTATTTTCCTCTGACATAGCAGGCTACGATTCCTAAGATGATGTTTAGAAAGTTGAAGGAAATATTTTCAAGAATAGCAAATAAATGCCATGGACAAGCCAGTAAAAAATGCTCTATTCCTTTCTTTTTTGGAGATGAAACAAAATTCACATTTTAATATTTTAGAAACATATTAATTACTGTTCTTAAATTACATTTTGAAACTAAAATTTTCCTTCGTGTTTAATATTTTTCTTTCAAAAGACATTTCATTTCTCCAATGTGCACTGAAGAAGAACATTTCAATGGTATTATTTTCTATTTGTTTTCTTTTGTCTTGGCAGTGGAAAGACTAATGGAGAATCTGACTGTGAAACCTCTACTTCTGTGCTGACACAGAGTGGGTTGGAAGAGATCAGCCCTGAAACTAAAGCCAAGATAGAAGAGGAAGCATATAACAAAGGGTGGGAATGTTTTATGTTAACTAAGTCTGTAAATATGAGCTACCAGATGAGGACAGTAGTTTTTATAATATAATTTTAAGTGCAAAATGAACGACATGATCAATATGAGCTTTTCAAAGGTGGTCACAATTGAAGCAATGTGGGAAACAATGCAAGTGAGCTTCCCTTGTATTTGCATCATAGCTGATCACTTTCATCCTTTATTAATGTTAGTCAAACTATGGGAGAGCAGTTGTATCAGAGATTCTGAGTTGGGTGGGTGTTCTTGTGTCGATAGTGTTCAGCTTCATGATAGGATAATCCAAAACAGCTTTCTAAAATGTTTGTTCTGAAATGTGTGCATAGAAGTGAGTAAAGAGTAGGTATCAACTTTCGTAGTAAACTCATGTTGTTTGTGTCACAAAGTGCTTTACACAGTGTGTTTTGGGGCAATTAACAGCTTTGGGATCTGTTTCTGAATGCCAAGCAAAGAACTTTGTACTATGTGAAGAGTGAGACACAAATTTTGATCCTCTCCTCCTGCTGAATCCAACAAGCCACCTAACTTTAGCATTGATTTGCATTTTTTCTCCAGGAAAAAAATTATCTGGTGGGTGTTCAAAATGATTGAAAAATAATAGAGAAATACTTAAGAACACCTTCACAATAGACAAAAGTTGTGTTCTGTTGAGGACTCTTTCTTTTTCAAGATCACAGAATCACAGAATCTTAGAAGTTGGGAGGGACCTCGAAAGCTCCCCCAGTCCAATCCCTGCCAGAGCAGGATCACCAGAGCAGTCACACAGGAACACGGCCAGGCGGGTTTTGAATGTCTCCAGAGAAGGAGACTCCACAACCTCTCTGGGCAGCCTGGGCCATGCTTTGGCACCCTCACACGGACAAAGCTTTTCCTCATGTTCAGATTGAACCTCCTATGCTTCAGTTTGCTCCCATTGACCCTTGTCCTGTCATTGGGCATCACAGAGCAGAGCCTGGCTCCTTCCTCCTGACACTGCCCTTTACAAGTTTATAAACATTAATGAGGTCACCCCTTCAGCCTCTTTCCCAAGCTAAAGAGACCCAGCTCCCTCAGCCACTCCTCATAAGGGAAATGCTCCACTCCCTCCATCATCTTTGTGGCTCTGCTGGACTCTTTCAAGCAGTTCCTGTCCTTCTTGAACTGAGGGCCCAGAACTGGACACAATATTGCAGATGTGGTCTCACCAGGGCAGAGTAGAGGGGAAGGAGAACCTCTCTGCCCTACAACCACCCCTTCTGATACACCCCAGGATGCCATTGGCCTTCTTGGCCGCAAAAGCACAAGATAATAAGTTGGTAACAAAGCTAATACACTCCTCTGTTAAGGAAGGGTGGCTTTGCCATACTCGTGATCTTTAGCTAATTTTTATTCTTGTCAAAGTGCTGCAACACTGCTACTTGTGTTTTATTATGTGTAACAAAACATAAAGCCAATTTTTCATTATATAGGAACAGGCTTATTCAGTATGGTAGACTAAGAAAAATGCTTTGTGTATTAAAGCTATCAGGAAGGCTTGAAGAAAACCAAAGAACTTCAGGAACTGAAGGAAGAAGATGAAGAGACACCAAAAGAAAGTCATGATGAACATGAAGAAAGTGAAAATGAAGATGAGATAAAAAACCTGAAAAGCAGGTGAGACAGTGGTGTAATATGTCCATATAAGAGAAGCAATTTTTTTCTATCTGTGGTACCCAACCAAGTGTTTTATGCTGTGATCTTGACATGTTTTCTTCCACTCTAGAGAAACATTTGAAATAACAGTATTTTCACAGAAAGGCACATTCCAAGATAACATAGTTGCAACATGCAAAGCTTATTATTTTGGTATTTCACCTAAAATTGTAAGTTGACATCAAGACACTTCATCTTGATGGGGTTTGGTTTTGATTTGAGGTAAAAAATATTCCACTCAAGTTCTTTATATGCCAGAACATATCTCTCAGTAGGCATGCATTGTCCTGTGAAAGTTGTAATTCAGGAATCTGATGCCCATATTTGTGCCATATGTCATTCCCAAAGGGTCTTCAGCTGGGTTGGACTTGCTCTGACTTGGACAGGCAGGTGCTTGCTCCCTCTGGAAGCTGTGTAGATGAAGCAGAACAGCACTATGTTGGAGATCCTGCCTTTCAGAAGAGTGACATATTATTGCATTCATCTGTACCCAGTGCTCTTTGTACTGGGGACTTTTGAATCATCTGCTCATTGTCTTAACTGAAGCATTTGATGCTGAACTGAAAAACTTTTCTGAAATTTTTCACCTTTTCCTAGAGTTAACTATTGAGTCTCCTTGGTGGTCTACCACCCAATTTAATATACCTACAACTTCCTGCATTTTAAAAGCAAAAATACTTTTGCATTAGAGAGTCACTAAATGTTGGCTATAGCCAGTAATACGTCCAATCCCGAGCTAAGGTAGAGATCCTGAACTGATCCAGGAGAATTCATTTCCATCCCATACCATTATGGTTATAAACTCTGTTTATTTGAGATTTCAGCCGTGTTCAGAAGGGCAGACACCTCACTAGTCATGAAACTTTTAGGAAGTTTACAAGGTTCTAATGTTCAGTTTAGTTGAGCAAGCTATAAACACTGCAGGATTTTACATCAGGCTCTGAGATTTGCCATTTGACAGGTGGGAGAAATAGAGGCCAAGTTTACGGTCTTCAGCCATATGGCAAATATCACCCATATCTGAGAGTACAGCTCTTCTTAAAAGAACTTAACAGCCTGAATCTTCCTTGTCAACGTGTTTGCATTTGAAAGAAAGATAGTGTACCACGCTCCATCATCTTTGCCAAGTCTTGG